GACATTTCATGACCCAGCTGGGTAACATCCTCAGGGCTAGAAGGGAGGAGGATAACAACTGTGGGGCCCTTGATGCTCCCTGAACTTGGTTGTTTTCTTGCAGACATTTTATTACCCAACTAGGGAACAGCATCAGGGCTAGAAAGGGAGGAGGACTGTGAGGCCTTTGGGGCACTCTGAGCTTGGTAATTTTCTCGCAGACGTTTTATGAGCCAACTAGGTAACATCATCAATGTCAGAATGGAGTGGGGTTTGCAGACAGCAGGAGGAGGAGGAGGAGGAGGAGGAAGAGGAGGACAACAACGGTTGTATGTCCTATGCTTTCTGAGCTTGCTGATTTTCTTGCAGACGTTTTGTGACCCAACTAGGGAACTTCACCAGTGTTGAGAGGGAATGGCATTTGTGGAGTGAAGGAGAAAAAGGGAAGGAGGGAGGAGAAAGAGAGGGGGAGGAGAAGGAGGACGGCTGTGGGGTCCTTAGTGCTCTCTGAGCTTGGCTGTTTTTCTCGCAGGCGTCTCGTGACCCAACTAGGTAATATCAGCAGCCAGAAGTTTCCCTCCTCCCTTCTAAGCACTGATGATATAACCTAGTTGGGTCACGAAACGTCTGCAAGAAAAACAACCAAGCCCAGAGAGCACTAAGGACCCCAGAGACGTATCAACCCCCCCCCCCCCCCCCCCGCCCGCCCCGTGATCAGCCACCACTCTGTTCTGGGAAAGTCAGAGAGAAGTTGCGATACTCCTACCTTAGGTAGATTGTAGACCTGTTGTTGATAAATTAGCTCATAATGGGGAGGATTGATGCTACTCTGGTAGACGCAGAACAAGTTCTCGTTCGACATATCTGCGAGTGAGAAGAATCGTATCTGGCCTCAGTTGAAAGCCCGATGAATCAAAGTTAAATGAAGTTCTATTGCAACATGGAACCAGATGCCATCTGGATCAGGGGGTCTCCAACCGTGGCGACTTTAAAGACTTGTGGACTTCAGCTCCCAGAATTCCTCAGCCGGCAAGTCTTAAAGTTGCCACGGTTGGAGACCCCTGATCTAAATTACTAACTGGTGGAGTCCAGCTGGTTATACATAAATGCTTGCTTCCAGCAAGGAGTTGTGTGCAAACCACCCCACTTATATCCTGTTCTCCCAGCTGCAACTAAGGAAAGGGATCAGGGCCTTTTCCTCTCCCGTAAGCCATGTTGCTCCCTTCTCCGTTCCTCCCTGTGTGCCCTAGGATGAAGAGGGGACGGGGCCTGGGTCTTCCTCTGAATGCCCAGCCGGACTCTGCCCTTCCCCAGTTTCCTCCACAGCCACCCGAGCCACACTCCCACTCCCTGTGGCCTTACTAAGGCTTTGTAAAGTGGTACTAACCCTTCACACAATCTAATGATGTTCATGATGGCCCTATCTGTGCATTCAACGATTGTGGAATCCAGGCCTTCTAGTTACAACCGTTCATTTAATGACTGTTTGAAGTTGCAACGGCCCTGAAATAGGCTGTTATTCACACTTACGACCATTGCCGCATCCCCGTGGCTGGGTGATCAAAATTCGGAGGCCTGGCAACCGATTCACATTTGTGACGGTTGCACATTCCCATATAAGTAATATCCAATATTTTTATTTCACGAGCTTCTCTTACTGCTTTATAACTACATCTAGTCCATTTTAATTTGTTTTAGTTTCTAACCACTGATAAAACAAATCCCATACCATGTAATATTCAGATTCTTCTCTTTAATTTCCAACGTTCGCCTACTCATTTCTGCACATTCAAATATTTCCTCAATTACTTTTCCTTCTATCGGTATCACTTTTCCAACACTGAGCAAATACAATTCTAGAAGCTGTTAATACATGTAGGATTAAATATGGTTTTTTTTTTCTTTATTGCAACCTTTGGGGACCATTCCTAATAAAAAAAATACCTCAGGTTTCAAATCTGTATGTTATTTGATCATTTTTTTTCCAACCGTATGTGTATTTTAATCCAATATCTTTTAGCTTCTGTGCAAGGCCACCACATATGGTAGTATGTTCCTGGTGTTTGATGACGCTTCCAGCCTTTGGCTAATTTATCTTTAAACGTTTTCGCTAGTTTTACTGGTGAACTGATTCATATTTGTGACGGTTACAGTGTTTCTCAGGGTCACACGATTCTCCTTTGGCGAACTTTTGATGAGGAAAAGTCAACGGAGGAAGCTGTCATGCCCCTGTTAGAATCTGACTCCAAGGGAGAGGAGGAACAGCCGACGGAGAGTGGGATTGTGGCTCTGGAAGTTGTGGAGGAAACTGGGGAAGGGCCCAGGCCGGCTGGCCATTCAAAGGAAGACCCAGGCCCACCCCCTCTTCATCCTAGGGCACTCAAGGAGGAGCGGATAAGGGAGAAACGTGAGTGGCGTGGTCTACGGGGGAGGAAGGGGCCCTGATCCCCTTCATGGGCTGCAGCTGGCATGGGCCAATGCTGGAAGCAAAGCGTGAAAAAAAATTATAGTCTGTCAGTTCTTGAGTTCTGGCGTCCTTCCCAGTGTGTGTATATTTCAAGATCTGTGGACGTCTTCAAGCCCTTATCCTGCCTTGTCTCATTAATTGCTTCAGTGTTGTTGTTTTTTCTATTTATAATTTATATGTAAAGTTTGAACGGAATTTCTTCCTTTTCGCAACTGTTTGTGGGGGAGTTTTTTTTCTCCAATCAATGATAATTGGACCTTGGAGGCCCCAAGTTGAAGGAATTAAAGGGACTTTTTACCTATTTGGCTGACTTTGTTGCTTTTGTATCCCATCCCGGGTCATCACAGAAGCCAGGTTTGCTTAACGACTGCACGATTCACTTAACGACCGCAGGGATTTGCTTAACAACAGCGGCGAAACTCCCGTAACAAACTGTCTTGCTTAGCAACAGAAACCAGGAGGTTCGGAAAATCTGAAATTTGTGGTTCTTAAGTCGAAATTCTACTCGTGTTTTTTTTTTTTAAAAAAAAGGACAACCGACATTACCTGGTTTATCAGGGGTTTGAATGAAATGCTGGGAGGTGAAAGTTTTCCCGTCGGGATACTTAGGATGGGGAGGCAGCCTGGAGTCGAGATACGTGCAGAATATGTGCATGAGGATCTGGAGAGAAAGAAGGGAAGTCCAGATTTAGCAACACGTCGGACATTTCAGAAACACACACGGTGAGTTCTAGTTCCACTTTAGGTGTGAAAGGCAGCTGGGCGACTTTGGGCCAATTGTCTGGAGACGGTGAATTTTAATTCTACCTTAGGTGTGAAAGTAGCTTGGTTGGTTTGGGGCTAATTAGCAGGAGCGAGTAAGTTTTAGTTCCACTTTAGGTGTGAAAGCCAGTGGCCAGTGGACTTTGGGCCAGTCACCGGGAGACGGTGAGTTCTAGTTCCGCCTTAGGCATGAAAGCTGTTTGGGTGACTCTGAGCCAATCACCAGGAG